CCGACCTGTGATTTCTGCCTCTCCTGCCAATACGGGGCCAGGCTTGCTGATGTGTTTGTACTGGTGCGCGAGATGCTGGAGAGGGGCCATCTGCTCTGTGTGTCAGAGCCCAGATCCCAGATGCTTACGGTGGGGGCTGGGAGGCGTATCCGCAGAGCTGGGGGCAGGATTAGAATAAAGAGGTGCGAATGGTGCGCAGTTTGGGAAGGGAAAGGGAACTGCCGGGAACTGGACGGGGAAAGAGGGTTGAAGAGAATTAAAGGGTGAGCAGGGGAGACAAAGGGAAACACGAGAAAACAAGACGCCACGTCTGTTGTCTGCAACGTCGAAGAGGAATGATAGCAGGCACGGGCTCGTCCACCTGACCAGGTCTACAGGAGGCTGCACTGTGCCTCTTTGGCCAAGTTTGCACCATCAGGGTCGTGGGCTCCTCGTCTAGGTGACAGGTGCTGTCTTCCCATCAGCCCACCCTACCTGGAGGGCCCTTCGCTCTCCAGATCTAAGCATCGCCAACCCTATGCCTTATCCACATTCAGGTTGTACTTATGGATGAACTCTCTTTCTGATGACCTAGAACTCATTTTCTAAGGTCAATCTCTTCGCTTTTCTCCACTTTCTCCAGCCAGAGTCCATATTACTGTTGGTTCTTAAGAAAGATTCATGACACCTGGCCGGTGTGGCTCAGTGGTTGAGCGTCGACCCTGCACCAAGAGGTCGCCGATTCGATTCCCGGTCAGGGCACATGCCCAGGTTGTGGGCCCGATCCCCAGTGGGGGGCATGCAGGAGGCAGCCAATCGATGTTCTCTCTCATCAATGTTTCTATCTCTCTCTCCCTAAAATCAATAAAGAAAAAAAATTTAAAAAGGAAGGACTCATGACAACTACATCACACTGTGCAATAATTCAAGGTCTGTTGTCCAAATATGTGAGTGTGTATATATGTGTATAAGACATCTATACATAATCGTTATACATCTATAGGTATATTGTGTGCGTATATGTGTGTGTGTACATAAATAAAACTAGGATCTGTAAGAGCGTTAAGATCTATCAGCTCACACATTTCTTTTTTTTTTTAATCCTCACCCGAGGACATTTTTTGATATTTTGTTCGGATAGAGTGGGAGGGGGAGAGAGAGAGAGAAACATCGACATGAAAGGGACACATCGAGTGGTTGCCTCCCGCACAACCCAACCAGGGCCGGGGACAAACTGCAACTGAGGTTCGTGCCCTTAGCGGGACCCGAACCTGGGTCTCTTGGGACCGAAGGCCGATGCTCCAACCGCTGAGCCAAATTGGCCAGGGCGCTCTCACATTTCTTTAGCCAAACAATACCTACTCTCTAATGGGCCGTGGCCCCCCCTTCTCATGCGTCAGTTCTGGTGGATTTCTTTGTAAGTTATATGAAAATGTCTCACCACTGTGCGAAAAACTGGAAACTAAAGTAATATTGAATGTCAACTGTAAATGAAAAATAAAAACGTACACAAAAAATTAAATCAAAAAAAGAAAGAGAAACAAACAGTATAAAATCAAATGGTTCAAAATAAACCAACAAAATAAACCAGCCTCGAGCAGGCATCTGGACACGTCTTGTCTTAGACTCGGAGGCTAATTTCAGGTGCCGTCTCCTCTTTTATCAATTTTATTCTCTCTTCTGTTTTTACAAATTCCACTCATTCTTTTTTTTTTTAAATCCTTGCCCGAGGATACTTTTTTCTATTTTTATCTTCAGACAGAGTGGGAGAGAGAGAGAGAGAAACGTCAATGTGAGAGAGACGCATCGACTGGTTGCCTCCCGCACGACTCGACCAAGGGCCGGGGACTGAACCACGGCCGAAGTACGTGACCTTGATTGGAATCGAACCCACAACTCTTTGGCCTGCGGGCTGATGCTCTACCGAGGAACCAAACCTGCCAGGGCACACTCATTCTTTAAGTCTGAGCCACATGATTTTACGGAGTCAGGAAACAGTGGGACAGAAAGGAGAGTTGGGAGAGAGAGGGAGAAACCTAATATACATCAAGTTACAGGAGAATGAAGACTTTGTCTTTCTTGTCCCTAAGTACCTTGGTACCCAGAACAGGGCCTGGTGAAGGGAAGGTGCTCCCTCAAGACACATGGAGTGAATGATATTACTGATGCCGGACTGTGTGCTCAGGGCCGTGCTGGATGCTTTCGGAAAGAGTCCTGAACAGCCATAAAAAGTAACCCCACGTAACGACGTGTATGGTAAGAGAACGCATTCTGTGGGGACGCACCTCCGGAGGTCATGCTGAGGTAGTGGTCCTGACATCTCAGCGAGCAGAACAACAGTAATACCCCAAGGCAGGGCCAACAAACCATCGCTCAAGGGCCAAGACCAGCCTGAAGGTAGTTTTGTGCAGCCCAGAGGCTAAGAATGGTTTTCACATTTTTTTAAAGGGTTATAAACCAAAACAAAGAAGATTAGACATCAGAGACTGTATGTGGCCTGCTAAGCCAAAAATTTGTGCTATCTCTTCTATTTGTTTTCTTGATTGATTTTAGAGAGTGAGGAAGGGAGAGGGAGAGAGAGATTATAAACATCAATGAGAGAGAACATCAATGGCTGCCTCCTGTATGCCCCTCACTGGGGATCAGGCCCACAACCTGGGCAGGTGCCCTGACCAGGAATCGAACCAGTGACCTCTCGGGGCATGGGTCGGCACTCAACCACTGAGCCACGCTGGTCGGGCAAAGTTTGCTGGTTCCTGTTCTAAGAAGATACTAAGAATGTGCTTCCTTTTAGTCAAAAGCGTGTTTGGCTTGGACTTCTGTTCAAATACAACGTGACTGCAAGACTGGAGAGGGTCGGAACGCTCTGTGAGCATCCCGGAGCCAAACACACACACATCGTCCAGGCTTAGAGCCGCTCCGTAGCAGGGACTTACAGGGGACTCACCTTTGTTGACTCATGCTGACTTATGTGACGTATTGTGTAGGTGTTTCCCACATGATTTTCAGGTTCGAGTTTTGGAATGCAACCAAGACCCTTCCCAGAAGCTCGGTGGGTGGCAATTGCACAGGGTGCCACCTTGGTCCCCCTGGTGGAAGGATCACGGGGCTCTGTTATGGAGCTTTGAAGTCATCTGGACTCTACAGGAAATACTCAAGAGGTGATCTGATTACCTCTCGTCTGTCTTTCATTAAATCCCAGAAATGTCTGGTCATCCTTTCTTCAATGACTATTTTCTGTTCCATTTCCTGTCCCGCAGGTCACTGAGTCTGTCATTGTCGACAATCGTTTTCTTCCAGATCCAAGAATTTCTAGTCTTCTATCTTCGAATGCGCTGCTTTTATTTATTTATATTTATTTAGTCGTCTCTAATCTGCTGGTGGACCCAATGAGTGATTTAAAAGAAGAAGAAAATTTTCAGACACTGTATTTTTCAGATCTAAAATCTGGTTCTTCTTTCAAATGTCTCCCTTTTTTTCTGCGTCGAGTTCCTATGCGTGCACTGATTATGAGCGGACTTTTCCTTGTGGGCGTGGGTGTAACTGTAACAGCTGCTTTGAAATTCTTGTCTACTAAGTAGACGTGTAGAACTTCATTCTTAATTTGCCAAGGGACATGTACAATCCATCAAACAAATCCCGCCTCCTTGCTTCCCTTCCTGTCCGCCCCCCCCTACACACACATTCACCAGTTTGACAAAGCAAAGGGTGTCGGTGCAAAAATAAAACGCCATGTGAAACTCTGGCACCAGGCCCGTGGTAAAGGTTGAGCTTACGGAACCCCAACACTGCCGCGTCGAAGGTCCGGTCTCTTTACAGAAGGCAAAGAGGCCCCGACCCGGTTCACAGAACCACAAAACAAAAACCAAGCTCCTGAACGCAGAGCAGGACAGGAGGCCGGGGCGGTCACACACGACGTAAAACAGCCGTGGTCCGATGCAAAGTCTCCGAACCACTGACCACGTTTCCCATGGTGCATCTCTGCTGCCAGCCCAGAACCCCTTCAGAGCGAGTGGGCGCCGCACTCTGAGAGCTGGGGCTGGCGCAGAAGGCGCAATGGATGCTCAGCCAACACCCAAGTCTGCACCGACTGGCGCTACTTTCGGCTGCTGAACCAGGCCAACCACACACACCAACCTGTGTGCAGGTGCTCGTGGGCATGCACACACTCTCACGTCCATGTCCTTTAATTTTTTTTTTTTAAATCCTCACCCAAGGATATTTTTCCATTTATCTTCAGATAGAGTGAGAGGGAGCGAGAGAGAGAAACATCAGTGTGAGAGAGACACACCGATTAGTTGCCTCCCGCATGACCCTGAGCAGGGTCGGGGACCGAACCCCAACCGAGGTATGTGCCCTTGACCAGAACCGAACCTGTGATGCTTTGGCCCGGGAGCCAACACTCTTTTTTTTTTTTTTTTTTAATCCTCATCCGAGGACATTTTTCCATTTTTTGTACAGACAGAGTGGGAGTGAGAGAGAGGAAGAGAGAGAGAGAGAGAAACATCGACGTGAAGGGACACATCAAGTGGCTGCCACCCGCACGACCAACCAGGGCCGGGGACAAACTACAACCGAGGTACATCCCCTTAGCGGGAACCGAACCCGGGCTTCTCCGGACCGCAGGTGGATGCTCTAACCGCTGAGCCAAACTGGCCAGGGCAGGAGCCAACACTCTAACCACTGAGCCAAACTGGCCAGGACCACGTTGATCTCCTTTAGACACAAGGAGCTGATGTGTACTCACTGGTCCCAAGCAGGTGGCAGCGACGGCTATTTCTCTCCGTGAGATGCTCCTCACGGCCTCCTGTAGGGCACCCCCAGCTAGGACTGTACATTTCCCCCGAGTTCCGGCTTCGTAGCCAGAGAGTCAGTATTTCAAGCCAGCACAGACCCCTCAGCACCCACGAGGGACCGCGGCAGAGAGCGGCACTGTGGTGCTGACTGTGTACCACCACCCCCATCCGGGGGCGCTGCTGCCCCGACTCCGGAGGCCCCAGCTGGAGAACCCCGCCCCTTACCGTGACTGGCATGGGTGTGAGTTGCACCTTCGGACCTGGGGCTCGGGGCGGCTTGCTTGCGGGCAGTCACTGTTGTTCACCAGAGTCGTGGTCTTGTTCACAATTCGTGTGCAGGACACGATGGTCCTGCGTTCCCCTGGAAACCAAAGCACAGGGGACTGAGAGGCTGCAGCTGCAGGCCCTGCGTATAGAGGAGCGTTCGGGCGCCTCCGGGGTCAGCCAGTCGCTGCCCTGGCTGTCGCGGGCGTGAGGGTGATGGTGAGGGTGTGTACGACACGGTAAGGGCAGTGTGCGGCAGGACAGAATTCTAGAATAGGACGCGAAAGAGGCAACCCCTCCGATCAGGTGCGTCCTTGGTAACAGGGATTCTTTGAGGCCAACATTTCAACCTCTACCAATGACGGCCAATCTCTTTATCTGTGCATTTGATGTTTCAAGTCGATGGAGGGCTGGTCTCGATGAAACACCTGGACATCAGCCCTCAGCCGAGATCACGGCCTCCTACTGCAGAATTCCTACGTGTTGGGCAGATGTGAGCGGGGAGGTGGGTCTGAAGGATGCAGACCGGCGGCGTCCAGGCAGGCACGCGGGCGCAGACCTGAGAAGTCGTCTAGCCGCCCAACTGCTCCTCGTACCTCGGCGTCACCTGCTCCTGGTAGGTCGCACTAGCCTGTGACCCCTGCAGGAGGCGGTGAACTTTTTGGGTGTTCCCAAGCACGGCTTGGTCCTGATTTTGTCAGGGAGCAAACGACTGCTGGCCCCTGGAGCCAGGCTGTCCGGGTTCAAACTTGGCTCGGTCACGAAAGGTGACCGTCGTATCAAGGAGCCACCACACCTCCGTGCCTCAGTTTCCCCTGCTGGGCCGCAGGGTGCGTCAGAGATGGTTAACATGGACGGATGCATATGAAGGGCTTGGAGCAGAGCCGGGCAGGGGTTAACACTTCACGGCGGCTCTGTTCCTGCTATTGTTGCTGTTATTTGGGAAGCGCGGCACAGAAGATGAATAACAGGATGTTAGGCACAAGTCCTTGAGCCCAGGCCGCTCAGTCTGCCTCTCCGGGATCAGCCGCGTAGGGGTGACTCAAGGGGACAGAGCTGAGCTGCGCGGCCAGCTCCTCCCCCACAGCTGCAGCGACCTCGAGCCAGATTTCAGCTCTGGCTGCAGGTCTCACGACTGTGCCAGGGGGCTGGGAGTCATCGGTGTCACGACAGGATGCCACGGGGCCAGGGGTGACAGAGCAGCACCCTCCAGGCTGAGGGCAGCCTGCTCCCTGGTCCGCTTGGGTCCCCATGCTTGGTTTGCCGCAAGTTACCCACGAGGAAAAGCCTCGTGCAGCCAGGGTGTGGGCGCTGGTTGGATCCGGAGTCTGGAGGGCAGCAGCACAGAGGGACGGCGGAGGGCGGGGGGACTGTTGGGGAGGGGTGCAGGGTGGAGAGGGGACAGCAGTGTGACAGTGGAACCCTGAGGCTGCCTGAGTGAGGGGCTGAGGACACAGGGAGGGCGGTACCCGAGGCAGGCAGGACGGGGAAGGACTTCACAGTCACCCGGCAGCGTCTGATGGGCCCAGTCATGCTCCGACTACAATCCCCGCCCATTAGAAACGAGACGACTCACTTCAACGGCAAAGGGTCCCTAGCTGTGCAGGCCTGGGTATGAGGGGGTCATGCCCAGGTTCCCCCTGCCCTGCCACTCTCTGGGTTGGCATTCCAGAGTCCAGGTCAGCCTTCCGTCCTGACCTCCCACAGTGTGTCCTGTCAGAGTGACCGGGTACACTGTACCAAGGGGCAGCAGTGGGCGCGATGCCGGTGGTCCTATTTCAGAGACCACGGAATTCGGTCCCAGCGTGGGCAAGTCATCAGCTAAAACCCGGCGGCAAACCGTGAAGCCAGGACTCTCGCCCGGAATGTGCCACCGGACTTGGAAGGCTTTCTCTTTCCTTCGTGCCCGAGAGTGGGGTCAGCGTGGCAAAGAGGAAAGGGTATTTGGGGGCAGAGACATCTTCGGGTGCCCCGCCCCCAGGAAGCAGCAGAGGGAGACCTGTCCTGTCCATCCCAGGGTCACTGTCACACCTGTGACGGAGCCGGGGGGCAGGCGGCCGTGTGGGCACAGCACCCACGGGGCGGAGACTCTGGCCGAGCATTTGCAGACAGACCCAGAGTGGGACGTGGTTCCGTCCCAGGCAAACACCGGTGACGTGGCCAGCCCGCCCCAGGCTCTGCGCACTGGCTGCCGAGTGCCCGGCATTCGGTCTCCTTCCTCCTGCACAACCGGCACCGTGAGCCCGGGCCCCGGCTCACCTCCTCCACACTGCACGCTGCACCCCTCCCAGCCGCTGTGGGTCCAGAGGAACAGGGCATCCTGGGGCTTTTCGGGCTCGCTCTGATTTTCCGCCGTGTGGTTCACGGGAATGGTGTACTCGTAGTGAATGCCGTAATTCTGGTCATGGAATAACAACACCTGCATGGGCAGCAAAAGAAAAGGGCGTTTTGAAATCCTGCAATGGTCCAGGGTTGCTGAGTACGCAAGGGGAGCCCCCCGTGTGGTCTCTGCCGGGGGGCGCTGGAGCAGGCTCAGCCTTGGGGTGCTGCTCCCTGCAGTGCGGGGTGCCACAGACTCGCAGCCTGGACGGGGCGTACGCAAGCTCTCAGCAGGTTCTGCTCTCCCACGGGAGAGGGGGCCAGGGCAGACGAGGAATTCAGGACGAGTGAGTCTGTACATTACCGGAGAACAGCTGTATGTAAACTCCCTGTTCCCACAGACTCACCCGCGAAGCTGCCCCCGTAGACGAGAAAGACACAGACACACCGCTTTTACCCAACAGGGCATCCGAGCGAGTGGGGCTCCTCTCCTCCTTACAAAGCGAACATCGTTTCACCCCCTGGCACCCATCGTCATTATGGGCAAGGCAGGCTTGAGGGCAAACGCAGCCACAAGGGGAACCGTGGGGACGTCGGTTTGGGAGCCCAAGGATGCGTGAGGCTGCCCACGGCGAGGGAGCTGGGATAGTGATGATGCCCACAGAGCGGCGGGCAGCGGGAGCCACCTGCAGCGTGGGGACGGCGGGGTCTGAAATCCTGCCGCGTGAGCACATGGACGTGTCCCCTCCTTGCCTGGTGGGGCACGTGACACGCCCTGTGAGGACAGAGGTGCTCTCCTGCCTTGGGCTGTACACAAATGGTACCCGTTAACGGTACCAAACACGCTTAAAGGGGCCTGGCTGTAGGGGAGGTGCGCTCAGGTGAGGCTTAAGCCCAGTGGGTCCTCCTGGGTCTAAGCAGGTAGCAAGTTCGCTTCCAGGCTGGGAGGGTCCAGGAGAGGGGCCCACCTGCCTGGCCTGGGGAGGGCTGACTGCACAGTGCTAGACAGGAGCCCTCTCCCCTCTCCAGCCTCCCAGCCCTCCAAGGGCTTACGCGGGGGTGGGGGTGGGGTGCCGAGAGCAGCCCGAAGTGCATAAACATCCACTTCTCCAAGAAACAGACTCGCAGTAACACATTTGGAAACGTGCCTCCGGTTTAAAAGGAGGGGGGGGGAACCTCTTTAAAAGAGATCTTTATTATCTCAGTATGGGAATTAGACTGGTGAATGGAGAATCCATATGAAACCAATTTCACGCAATTGTGCAGCCACGTATGACGTGTGTGCGTGTGCACAGTGGATTTCAAATGCAGGTCCCCGTAGCTCCAGGGGTGCCCGACCCTACGAGCAATGCGTGCATCCTGGTTTGGGGACAAGGACTCCCATTTGCAGCCAGAGGGGTACCTCTCATTCCCAGGTTGAAAAACTCGAAGTCACAATTATATTTCGAGAGAGAGGAACGGTTCACATTAAGGAGGGCTGGGACTCCGGCTGCGGCGGCTGCGGCCTTCTCTGAGTTTCGTTTACCGTGGGCTGAATGAAGCCAGGCTGCTCTGACAACCGTGGAAGCTTTGAGAAAAGACGGGAAATAGACCCATCTTGGCGTTTGCTAGAGACAGCAAACAGGTGACGTTGGGACTAACAAGTGACGTTTTAGTAGGGTAGGGGTGGGGTCTCATCGTTTAGCCCCTGTCCCTCTGCATAGCTGCTTTTCAACGTGGACAGGAGGGTTTTCTCTCACGACAGACTAGGAAATAATCTTATCACAGAGAAATGGCCTGGGGACAGGTCGCTGGGTCCTGGAAACCAACCTGCAAAGCTATACCTGCAGCAGACTTTGCGGGCTCAGTGGCAATGACAGATCTCCAGGCAGTTGATGTCACGCGTGGAAACCAGCTCATCCAAAATTATAACGGCGTAAGGCCATCATGGGTGGTGCCGTCTTGGCGGCCAGCGCTCATGGACAGAGCCGTCCCCTCAGGAGATTCCCTGGAGGTGACCAGGGAATTCTCTGGGTATCACCTACCCGCCAGTGGCTGCAGGTGGCCAGAAACCACGGCTTAATGGGGGCAAAGGACTTCTGAGCAGAGACTTGGTCGAGCACCAAGGACAAAAGGTGCTTTGATTAGAGACTTACAAGCCGCCACAATACAGTTCTTTGAAGGGAGACCCAGAGTCCGTCTTTACCAGCTATCGGAAGTGAGCCACGAGAGCTCCTGGGCCCCAGGAAGGACACAGTGGCACCCCTTTCTTAGGAGAGCTTTGACATTCTTAAACTGACGCACCAGCAGGCTGCAGGGGGTCCTCCCTGAGAGGTAAGACGGGGGCTCTAACCTGACCACACAGGTTTCTCGAGACCACCTGGGGAGTCAATATTCCCCTAGCACGGGGTCCACCACCCCCAATTCCCGAGTGCTTGTTGCGCGCTGAGTTTGGAAAATCTGAGTGATGTTGGTTTGGAAGGAAGCGGAGTCAACAGCTCATTTCCAAAAGGTAATTTCCAGTGTGGATATACAAACTGCGGGGTGGGTCTGCGCCATCTGATAGGAAAACAGACTCGGGCGGGGCTGTCTGCTGAGCGAGGCCACGTCTCCCTGGCGGCCACACGGCTGAGCAGTTCCTTCCCAGGGGCAGCTCCTTTTGAAAAGAGATTGGAGAACTGCCAGCAAGGAGTCAGGGCAAAGCTTCCAGAGGGGCGCATTCTCAAGTCTGCTGCAAGAGGTTAGATAAGCAAAGACCAAGAGAGAGGCCCGAATGCGAGTGGCCAGATAAACCACCAGGAATCAGGGGGCGCTGCCTGCCACTGGGGCCCCAGGGAAGAAGCCAACCGGGAGACCCCTCAAAACCTCCGCCTCCGCCTCCACCTCCGCCCGAACGCAAGCGCACAGCGAGTTACCATCAAGTGCAGGGGTATTTTGGTTGGTCCCTTGGCAGAAATTTTCTCCCACAGGCCCCTTCGAACGTAGCGCACGGTCGTGCCCGCAATCTGGAACTCCCCGGGGAGCTCTATCTTCCAGTCGCTGTTGATGGACCGCCTGCCGGAGTCTTTGAGAGCTGGAAAGGAAATGGAACAACATGGGATCCAGGGCACCAGGATGTCTGCAAAGGGAAGCTGGTGTCCTGACTGATGGGGCCCAGGCCCCCCCCTCCACGGGGGCAGGAGGGAGGCCTGAGGTGGGAGAGGGGGGGCTTTCTGTGCCCTGAGAACAGAAACCTTGGGCAAAGGGAGCGGACAACTCAAGACCCCAAGGACCCTCCGAGAGAGAGCTGTTGGAAACCCATCTCTGGGTGGGCTCCCTGCCTCCCATCAGTCACAGTGAGGGTCCCGCAGCAGCAGCAGAGATGGAGACCACCACAGTCCAGGTGCTTTTCACTAAATAGAGTCTTCTGCCCGACGAAGATGAATGAATTCTATTTTAATGCGCCCAAGGCTACAAAACGGGTTTTGCTACTTCAGCGCAACTTGGGTTCCTTCTACAGTTACCTCTCTGGGGCTTCTGTTGAAGGAAGGCAGCTAAACTCCAACATCTCTTGAGGATTTGATAGCCCTACATTAGGAAAGTGGATGTTCCTTAAGAAATGAGCATTATAGCCCGGCCGGTGTGGCTCAGTGGTTGAGCGTCAACCCAGGCACCAAGAGGTCATCCGTTTGATTCCCGGTCAGGGCACATGCCCAGGTTGTGAGCCAAATCCCCAGAGGGGGGCATGCAGGAGGTGGCCCACTGATGTTCTCTCTCATCAATGTTTCTATGTTTTATCTCCCTCTCCCTTCTCTCTCTCTAAAATCAATAAAGAAAAAAAAATTAAAAAGAAATGAGCATTATTCTTAAGAAGTACAAATTGCCGTTTATTTTTATTTTTTCTTTATTGATTTTTAGAGAGAGAAGAAAGAAACATCGATGAGAGAGAACATCGACTGGCCGCCTCCTGCACGCCCCCCTCTGGGGATTAGCCCACAACCCGGGCATGTGCCCTGATCGAGAATCGAACCGGCGACCTCTTGGTGCATGGGTCAACGTTCAACCACTGAGCCACACAGGCTGGGCTAAAATGCCATTTATGAAAACAGTCACAGGGATGTAAAGTGCAGCATAGGGAACACAGTCAATAACACTGTAGTTACTATGTGTGTTGCCAGGTGGGTACTAGACTTATCGGGGGGATCCCTTCATAAGGTATATAAATATCTAATCATGATTTTGTACATCTGAAACTAATATAATAGTGCATGTCAAGAGTACTTGGAAAAAATTAATTTTTTAAAAAAAGAAATCAGCATTATTCTATTGAATGCTACTCTGGGAAACCAAGCTGCCCACAGATGCGTGGGCCCCAGGTTGGGGGGCTCCCACACCCCGGCTCCGTGGCCTCGGGTGTGCATGTTGCTGCTTCCTCCGCTCCGCACAACAGGTGTTAGAAGAGAGAGAGAATCAACACTATGCGGATGGGCCCAAAGCAGAAATTGAGTTTCCCATACAAGCCCTAGTTCTTCTCCGACTGCCTACCAGGGACGTTTTGTGTCTCTTCACTTAGATGTGAAATCACATCGTTCCCAGCAGGAGAGCCCTCCGCGGGGAAATTCTGTCATTTTTGGTTTCGCTGTGCTAGCCGGGAAAGAAAGAAATAAACCAACTGGACTTTCCTGGCACTAAGGAGAAGGTGGTGGATGGCAAGAAGTAACAGCAAGTCTTTTTTTTTCCGTTTTTTTTGTTTTGTTTTGTTTTGTTCAGATAGAGTGGGAGGGAGAGAGAGAGAGAAACATCAATGTGAGAGGGACACATTGACTGGCTGCCTCCCGCATGACCCGACCAGGGCCGGGGACAAAGTGCAACCGAGGTCCGTGCCCTTGACCGGAATCAAACCCGCGACTCGTTGGTCCGCGGCCGGCGCTCTAACCGCGGAGCCGCACCGGCCAGGGCGCGGCAGCACCTCTTCATGTCAGTCCGGGAAGTGATACCCCAGCCCACCCCTGCGCCCACTCCCTGCAGGACGGCTGGACGCCCCCGACGCTGCCCCTGCCTCGGGACTCAGCTCCATCCAGATTCGGTGAAACCACATCTCGTCCATGCTCCGTGTTCTGCTTTCCAAGGCCAGAGAGAAAACGCTCGCGTTTAATACCGACGTCGGATCCCGAAAGCCGAGGCCAATAAAGGGCTTGGGGTGACCCCCAGTGCATGAGCCTCAGACTGGGCCGGCCGCCGGTGGGTCAGCCCTGGTCAGCCCCCCAGCAGTTGCGGGGACTGCAGGACACTGGTGTCGGCCCTGCAGGCTCTGCTGGGGCACACGGGAGGTGACGCTCAGGACCCTTGCTTATGGCAGCTGCCGAGAGGAACCGAGAGAGAGAGAGAGAGAGAGAGAAAGAGAGAGAGAGAGAGAGAGGAGGGGCTGATCTCCATCAGCGACGTCCAGTGGGGGCTTCATACCCACGGTTGCCCGCAGAGCACCGAGGTTACAGGGCTCTGGGGAAAGCTTAGGAGAGAGAAAGCTCCATCATTTGGACTCGAACGCTTCCCTTCGAGAAATTCTACCCACCACTGACGTTTCCCGGCCACTCAGAGGAAGCGAGAATGTGGGGACACCCACAATGGCTGCTCCTGGTTCTCCGTTTCCGGGGCTCCCTCTCTAGCTCCTTTCGCCCAACCCTCCTTCCCAAACCCTCTCGGCGAAGAATTTCGTTGGCCCTCTGTATCCGCGGGTTTCGCATCTGCAGATTCGGTGGATTGTGGTGCAAAAAAACAGCATTTTTTGCTTCACAGTCAGGAGTCCGCGGATGGGGAGGGCCCCACCTTACGTGTGTTGGACGAGGGGCTTGAGCATCCATGGATCCTGGAATCCTGGGGGCCCTGGAACAAATCCCCCGCAGGTACTGAGGGGTGACCGTATTTCCCTCTTCTCACAAATGAGGAAACAGGGGCACAGAGAGGTTAGATGAGCTGCCTAAAGTCACACAGCTATTAAAATGTAGAGTTGAACACAATGGTTCGATTGGGGGAGGTACCCACTGAGAAAGGGCTCTGTGAGGCCACATCAGCCCAGAGATCGAGAATGGAGGTCCCTTCCTGGTGCTTCTGTGGCAGCCTGACCCCCGAGTGGGAGCTGGGGGGGGGGGGTCGGAACGAGCTCCAGGGTCCATTGAGGGCATGAATCCTTTCCAAGGCCCTGTCCACCATGCTCTACTCTTTTCTTTTCTTTTTTTTTTTATCCTCACCCGAGGACATTTTTCCATTTTTTGTTCAGATAGAGTGGGAGGGAGAGAGAGGAAGAGAGAGAAACATCGACGTGAAAGGGACACATCGAGTGCCTGCCTCCCACACGACCAACCAGGGCTGGGGACAAACTGCAACCGAGATACGTGCCCTTAGCGGGAACCGAACCCGGGTCTCTCCAGACCGCAGGGCGACGCTCTAACCGCAGAGCCAAACCGGCCAGGGGGTCTACTCTTTCCTTAAAGGAGGCCCCCAAGTTAAATAAGTGTGGGGCCCCACAAGTTCTCACCCGTCTCGATCCTTGGACACCAATGGATGTAGGCAATTTCCCTTTGTCTGCAAGCATTTGGAGATTCGTTTGCGTGTGAAATTACGATTTTGAGACCCAGAAACTCAGCTGGGGCTATTACGACAGTCACAATGCTTTGCTGCAACAGCCCATGGACTAGCGACGAGCAAAGGGGACTCCGGAGGGGCTGGACTCCATCGGCGATGTCTGGATTTTCCGGGGAGGGTAGTTCTGCTCCGCCTGGCTCAGAGGTCGGATGTTTTCATCCACTGTCTGAAACAGACCAGTGCTCTGTGTATGTGCTGAGAAGCCGTCAGAAGTTTCTCGGCAGCTACAGAGGTTTCCCCAGAGACGAGGGTGGGTACCTGCTCCCCCTGCTCCTGCGGCAGACGACACCTCCCTAATGGCCCAGCAGGTCAGGTCACGTGGCAAACGTCTGCTTCCAACCCGGGCTCCTCTCTCTTCCTGCAGATATTTACACGCTGTCCCTGGACTCGGGCACTGTGGGGAAAGACCGTGAGCCATTCTGGGGAGTGAGGAGGGGGCATCCCTGGCTGGAGGCCCGGCTGGAGGTCTGGCTGGTCCACGGGCCCCCCTGCGTGGTGCTGTGCCGAATGGGCTCTTTCCGTCCTTCTCCCTGTCGGACTCCACTGGACGGCTTGACCCGCAGTCAACCTACTTCCACTCCTGGCACGGACTCAGCTCCACTTCATTTCCACTCGGAGTCCTGGCAGCTCTGTCCTCAGCCGTGGATGCGAAGTGCAGAGGCGTTTCCTGTTCCAGGTGGTTTGGAGCCGGCCGCCAGGCAGCGTGGGCTGGCCGGGGCGGGGGTGAAATTCTCCAGACTCTGCTCCCAGCAAATGTGAGAGGGACTCAGTCACACGCGCCTGCCTTCCCCAGCACCAGCCCCAAGTGGAAGCAGGCTTGTTTGAACCAACCTGAGAAACGTAACAAGCGCGGACCACCTCCGCGTTCGCCCTGGTGCGCACCCCAGGCCCTGGAACGCCGGCGTTGCGCCCGGCGGGTAAGATGAGGGGCCAAGGAGGCTCCGACCTCCCACGGAGGTCCCGTGCCTCTGGGGCGCCGAGGAGTCATCCTGTGACACCGAACCCTTCTCCTTGGGTGGGGGGTTTGCCTGCTGGCCCTAAAATGGGCTCCAGTTGAAAAGGCCCATTTCATGGGGGAATCAGAAGTTGAGCAATATATAGGACCCTGGCATCCATCTGTCCCTTTTACCGGTACCGCCACAGAAAAGTGGAGATAATGTTCCTATTTTGGCTAAATACCTGGAACTGGGGTCAGGGAAGGCATGGTGCTGGGACGTCTCAGAAGCCAAGGGACTAATGGCAGGCACCACTGGTCCTTCTGGGAGAACCAATGAGCCAACCAGAGGCTCCGGGAACACTGGGATGTGAATATACATCGAACAGGATGAGGGTCGGAGGCAACGTCAGCCTCCCTGGGAGGCCCATGGTCTCTGGGGAGCAGAAACATCCATATAGGTAGGAGAGGACCGATGTCCCCGTGGGAAAAGGTAACTTTCGGGGGTAACGCTAGGT